CTTAAGGCTGGAGTGGATCTGGTGGCCTCGGCGTGAAAGAGCAAGGGATCCAGGACCCCATCAAGGGGGGGGACGTCCGGGACAAGTGGGACCAGTACAAGGGTGTGGGCGTGGCCCTGGACGACCCCTACGAGAACTACCGCCGGAACAAGAGCTACTCCTTCATTGCCCGCATGAAGGCCAGGGACGAGTGCAAGTAGGCGCTCCGCGGGCAGGAGCTGTTGGCTTCCTGGCTTACTGGCAGTGACAGACGGTAGGGACAGCTCAGTGGTCAGTCTCCATCCTTGGGGAGCGACAGAAGAGAAGGAAGACGACAGCATGCCTAGGGAGAGGGCCGTGCTCCAGAGTGTGGGGGGCCCCAGGCCCCGCCTGCAAACCAGCTCTCCCGTAGAAGCCAGAACCCGCCCAGAGATGCCCTGGCCGCCCGGCCACAAGCCTCCTTCCCTTGATGGAGAAGTGAGAAACCCGAGACCCTCCACCCCTGGATACGAATTCCCGCCACCTGAAGACACGGCTGTTCGTACCTCCCCGCAGTCCGCTCGGAGCTGCCACCTAGGCTGGGAGGAGCGTGTGGAGGACGGGCCCCGGGCCAGGCGCCGGTTACAAACAGAAAATCAGACCCTTTCTGATTGGCAGAGTTACACAGGGCTTTCATTTTTACTCCAGATGTTTAGTTTTAGAGAAGGGAATGTTGCTCTCAGAGGATCCAGGTGAGAATTTGAAACCTGATTCCTCTAAGACGTGCTCACGGCCCATAGTTCAGTTACTTTAGTTGAGTTGAAATTTTGTCCCCAAACGTTAGCCACTCGCGGTCCCTGCAGAAACAAAGGTTCTAAGGAAGCTGATCTGAGGCATCTTCAGGTCACAGAGTGACGCCCTCGGAGAGCCTGCACTCTTAGTGTCTCTGCGTGTGTTTCTCACTTAGAGGAACCCAACACCAGCGCTCACGCGGACGGCCCGCTCTGCTCTGGGGTGGGGAGAGCGAGCCCACCCCACCCTGCCAGCGAGGGGGGCCCGGCCGGGCGGGGGGGGGGGGGCGGCGTGGGGACGGCCACGCCTGGCGTCTGTGGGCAGCTCGTGCGGTGCCGTCTCTTTGTACAGAAACATTTTTGAAAAATTCTTTTCAATAAAATAAACGCAGAGTCCTCTCCCAATTTTTCAACCTGATGTGATAAAATAATTTGATTTTGTTCTAGATTTCCTGTAGCTGTGAATTGTTCAAACGTGTCTGATTCAGGATAAAACGTAAACACGTGCTGTTAACGATTTCTTGTGGATTTTACTGTTTTGCCTTCAAATAAAAACTTTTTTTAAAGACCTTTTTCTCTGTGTGTTTGAGTTAGAAGCGCGCTCAGGCCGAGTCAGGAGGGGCTGTGCCCAGTGTGCGAGTCTGAGTTGTGCAGTCTGGTCGGAAGCCGTGTCCTGGCATCTCCCGTTGGCGTCCCCGGCCTGGGCATCTGGCGCTGGCTCCTATGGAGCAGACGGGGCTTCTCGGCCCTTCTATCTACCTCTGCTCACCAGGAAGGCAGCCCCTGGCCAGTCCGGCCACCCTGCAGGGCTCCAGGCAGGCAGGCACCCTCCATCCCGCCGGGAGCGGGGACCGAGCTGCCCGTGGGTCCGGCTCCCCCGGCCTGCGCGTCCTCTCGGGTCGGGCGCTGGGCAGCCCGGGGTGGGGGCGGAGGGGGAGGCTGGGAGCGGTCGGCCCCTCATCTGGGAAAGGCTGGAGCCGGGACTCCACTCAGGTGAGTCCTGGGTGCCACCTCCCACCACTGTCCCCTGGAAAACAACGTGTGGGCGTCAGAGCCGGTGTGCTGGCCCAGCGTGTTAGCTCAAGCCCACGGACCCCGCCTCACCTCCTGGTACTCCCAGCTCCTTCTTCACCTCCTCCAGGGCATCCTCCATGGACAGCGGCGCGGGCCTGTGGTGCCTGATGTACTGTGGGGCAGAGGACAGAGATGTCACCACTGCTGCCTCGGTCTACTGAGTCTACTGAGGCCTGGGGCGTTGGAGGTGGCGCCTGTCCCCATTGGCTCCTGGACAGGCGGACAGAAAAAGAGGCAGGATGCCACGTGACAGTGCTGTAGAAACGAGAGATGAGCCCAGAAGGCTCTCGGCAGGGCATCCTGCAAGGGGCAAGCCCTGACTGGGTCTGAGAGGGAAGAGCAGCCATGGCTGGGGGTGGGACCGGCGAGGGGCACTGCCCGGGGGGCCCTCAGAGCACACGGGGCCTGGGTGCCACTCCCAGGACGTGGGCCCAGTGTGGACATGAGGAGCCACGGTGGGCTGCAGGCAGGCGACGTGGGCAGACCGCTTCAGCTGCATCCCATCAACCAACATGCAGGACCGAGCGAAGTGAAAGGACTGCAGGGGTGCAATCAACAGTCCAGAATGGGGGCAACCGTCGAACAAACAACCTGTTTCCTTGAACAAATAAACTACAAGGAGACATCAGAGAGATGGCGGGGGCAGTGCAGGGGAAACCTGAGGAGCACGGTTCTCAAAGTGGGCACCCCCGTGGTATGTGCGAGAACTGCCGCTCTGACCAGGAGGCCAAAAAGACCCCGGACAGTCTTGATGTATGGGCTTTGTCTGGGTTCTGATAAAAAAACAACAAAATGTACACCTTCACGAGACAAGTGGAAATCTAATGCTGGATATCCAGCGATATTAGGAAAAGCTCGTTTGGCTTTGGGATTATCATGGTATCGTGACCATATTGTTCAAAAGTCAAAAGTCCTTTGTTTTGAGACCTACGGACTGACGTAGATAAAAGGACAGAAATCCCCATGCAGAACAGCTCATATAGTATGATGCCATTTCTATAAAGAAATACACACTAGATAGAATGTTACACCCATTACATTGCAACATGTATTTGATAATATACAATAACACACAACATTGTAATTCTCTACATAATACAGTTCATGTTTTACACGGGGAAAATCCAAAGAACATCGAGTTGGTAATAATCATCTCTGAAGTTATGGAAGGCTTTATAAACTACCTCTCTCTGTAACAAAATTTTTATAAAACGAGCACAAATTTTTTATAATCGGACAAAAATTAAATTTGGGGAGAGAAAGGTGAGTGTAACATTCTCGGTGCCTCAGCTCCCAGGACTGAGAGAAGCCCCGCGGGGACAGAGCTTGGGAAGGGTCTGTGGAGGGACAGGACCCCCCCCCCCGCCTTTGCCCTGAGGTCAGAAGCAGGCTCCCTCTGCTGCGACCACAGGGTCCCTGCTGCCTGGCCCGAGCCCCGGCCCCCTCCACGAGCGAGGCCCCTGCCCCCTCCCGGGAAGGGCGGTATGCTGTGGTCACCTGTTTGGTTTCCTCCAGGGTGTGGTAGTGGAACGCGTCCTGGTCCAGGGACTGCAGCAGGGACCCGTGCAGGTGCCGACTGGTCTCCACGAACTGCTGCGTCAGGCTCAGCTGCTGCTTCAGCATGTCGTTGAGCGCCAACACGGCCGGGCTGTACGCTGTCAGGGCTGCACCGGCTCTGTGTCACCCGGCCGGCCCGCCCACCCGCCCGCCTCCCCACAGGTGCCCCCCGGAGCAGGGGGACAAGGTCCGCTGCTTGGGCCCCGTGCTCGGCAGCGCCCGCGTGCGGCCACTGGGGATGCTTTCTGGAAGGTCCTGCCCTCTCCCAGAAGTACCAAAGGCCCCACTGGTCCCTCCCAGCCGCCTCCACCCTGGAGTGAGCAAGCTGCTTTTTGAGGGCTGGCGTGGGACTCTCGGGAGCTGCTCGTGTGGGATGCTCAGCGCCCAGGCAGAAACCTGAGTCTTAACGTCCGACCACAGGACGAAGTCTAGCCAATCGGCATCCCCAGCGGTACACCTGCCCCACGGGAACCTTCTTCACGCCACTGAACTGGACACTAAGGAATAGCTAAGGGGGTAAATCTTATGTGGGTTTTTTTTAAAGACTTTATTTATTTGATAGAGACAGAGAAAGCATGAGCAGAGAGAGGGAGAAGCAGGCTCCCCGCTGAGCAGGGACTTGATCCCAGGACCCTGGGATTTTGACCTGAGCCGAAGGCAGACGCTCAACCGTCTAAAAGCCACCCAGGCGCCCCATGTTGTGTTTTTAAACACAAAACTAAAATAATTAAAAATAAAACTAAAAATAAAAAAGTTTTCATTAAATTCAAAATGTATTGAAAAATGGAAGTTGTGTAAGTGTTCGAAAGGATCACTGGAAGGCTGCGTAACAACACAGAACAAGCTCGGGGGTGATAGCTAAACGGGAGAGTTTTTTGAAAGGATATAAACAATCCCGTGGTTACAACCAGTGTGTTTTAGTATCTTCATCTTTAAAAAAACTGAAAAGGGCAAAAACATAAGAGGTACTAGCTGGACCCTTGTTTGTGTCCCTCAAGTGGTCAGTGGCCCACTGTGAGGACCTGACGCAGCCTGGGCTCCCGATGGCAGCTGCTGGGGCCTCCCCCACCGCGGGCCGGGCCGCCCGGGACCCTGACACTCCCCGGACTCGGCAAGGCACCAAGGCCCGTGGCTGCCGGGCTGGCTGCCTCTCAGTACCGGCTCAGTGTCTTCGGGGGAAAAACTACTATGGATTCTGGACACAAAGGCATGGGGCGGGGGGGACAGGGGAACACACAGGAATAGCCCAGCTGGGGTGGAGGGCTCAGAGTTGTGTTACTCACAACTTCCCTGTTGTATCTGACACGGGTGTCCTTTGGCAAGACAGACCGAAGGTTTTCGGACACTCAGTCTGTCGTCCAGGCTCCTAGGAACCGTGGCAGTTGCCTGTGGCTGCGACAATCTCACCAACAGACCCCCCCGCACCCGGCACTAACGCGGGGCACCGCCCCTCCCCGGGTGGCCGTGAATCTGCGCCTTCACCGCCAGGACCCACTGAGCTGGGCTGTTACCTTCTATCGAGTCCGCGCTGACGACGTGACTGGCAATGGGCACGGGGTCCACGTAGGCACCTCCCAGGGCAGGCCCGATGGCCGCCACGCCGGCCCCTGTCCCAGCGACAGAGGGGGAGGGAATGAGTGGGCAGGACGCCTTTCATCAGCAGACGGGACATGAAACAGGCTACACGAATCTCATCTTTTCTCTTCTGAAGGACAGTCACCCTTCTGGCTTTGTCAACCTCTTCCCCTTTTAAAATTTCCCCAAGGCTGCCTCCATCTTTCTGCTGGCTTCTCCTGGTACAAGTCAGTTGAGCTGGCCCAAGCGGTTGCCGTGGTCACACCGGCTGGTCACGGTGGCATCGGGCCCTCCCCACCTCGGCCTTCCATCTACGGGCCATGAGCAGGCTTCAGGATGTGCCCTGGACTCTAAGAAGCCAGTTTATTTAGGCTGTGTTTTCCTCTCCTTTCAGTGTCAGGCCTAGTCTAGGAAAATGGCATCAGCTATGTTTTATGAAAGTTCCCTTGAAATTTCAAAAAAATACAGAAATGCACACATTTGCCCGCATGGGACAACCGGCTACGTGGTCAGGCAGCACGAGGCTGTGGAGAGGAACGCGGAGGTTTCCGAGTCACAGAACCGGGCTCCCAGTGCCTTGAACGCCTTCTAGCACTTGGCACATCTGCCTGACTTTCCTCCCCGAGAAGCAAGAGAATGGCCATGCCCTGCCCCGGTGTGCAGCCCAGGCTGATTTACGGCTAGGCGCCCCCAAATCAAAATGCACACCGCAGGTGAGAGGTACAGCCCCATGCACAGCCCAGGAACAAGCTCTGCTGACACTGTGGGTGTCCACCTAGACAAGAAAAGAGAGCGGGGGAAGGTTTAAAAGAAAGGGACCTTTCCGTTCAGATGGGCCAAGACTGAAGCTGGGGCCAAGAGAAACGTCTGGAAGGTCACACCGGGCATGAAGAGAAATGTCGGCCTGGGGCTGCTGCCCCTCATCCTCGGAAGAGGAAATGTGCCCCACGGCCCCCTGAGCTGCCTAACGATGATGACCCGAACCTCCAGACCCTGCAGCTCTTGGTCGTGCTTCCAAGGATGCCCGCGGCACACACTGCGAGAGCCTGTGCCTCCCTCGGGGGGCCCCCCTGCTTACCCTCTGCCCACTGGTAGGTGAAGGTGGGCTCGAGGGTCTGCACAGCCGTCTCCTTCATGAGGACCCTCGTAACGTCCCTGGCCCGCTTCTTCCAAGGCTTGAGTGTTGGCAGGGGAAGGTCTGGCTGCAGGCTTGCAGAGAATTCTGACAAAGTGTTCGGCGTCCTGTCGGGAGACTCCTCAGAATGGGCCCTCGACTCGGATGCCGTTTCAAAATCTTCCGAGTAAGCTGAGCTCACCGCGCTCGCCGTGGGCTCTCGAGACTTCGGCCTCGGGCTGGAAGCACCCTCAGGCCCAGCGGAGGAGACCGACGGCTCACTCAGGCACTCTGAGACCTCGCTTCCAGTGGGGGGACCTCCAGCCTGGGAGCTTCGGCTGGATGCCTTTTCCCGCTGGCCTTGTTTCTAAAACAAAGAATGACAGAGGTAACTGGCAGGTGGTTTTGCCCGATCAGCATGCTCAAAATACCACTGCGTTGGAATGGGTCCCCAGGGAGCCCAGCAGGTCAGGGTCCGCACTGGTCCTTCGGCGGCTTGGGGCGGGCCCCGGACTGTGAGCGGAACGCGGGAGACGCTTCAGCCTCACGGGGCTGCCCCGTTTGAACACCGATGGCATCAGCCTGTGTCGGTGGCACGTGGACGAACTCTGCTGAAGTGTCACCATTCTGTATCATGACAACGTGCGTTCGGGAGTGAGGTTACTAATGTGGCAAGAATCACAACGGGACACTGGGCTGAGCACAGGTCAGCGCAGTGTTGTTTCGGGGCGGTTTAAGTGGGACCTGCTTCAATCCTCTGCTACATTAAGTAGCTTTCTCCTGTTATCACCCAAATCAGGATCTCTCACCCGGGGCGCTCCTGACATTTGAAACTCAAACATTTCTTCACAGGGGAGCCATCCTGTGCTGCGTGGGACCCTGAGCAGTGTCCCTGGCCGCCACCGCACCCCCACCCCCAGCCCCAGCACCCAATGCCAGCAGCGCCCTCCACCCGAGTCATGACCAAAAACGTCTCCAGACATGCCAAGTGGCCGCTGGGGGTTAAGAACCACGGGCCTCACTGAAGCACCACCATGGCAAGCCTCTCCACATGACCGACAATGAAAAGTGAAGTTGGCTATACTTACTTTCTGTTCTAAGGCTGAGTTCTCGCTGACAGCTGGAGCCAGATCATCAAGGGACAAAAGATTGATTCGAAAATCTGTAATCAAAAATGCAACATGGCAACATTGACTCATTTATTCCCTCCACAGTGTTTACCAGAAACGTGCAGTCTCTGTCCTTCATAAGCCAGCACAAGGATTGACACACTTTTTCTCTACGTAGTAAATATTTTCCACTTTGTATCCTAGCCTATGTCACAATTACCCAGCTTTGTCCTTACGGTGCAAAGAGCCACCACAGACCATGTGTAAAACAAACGGACGCGGCTGTGTTCCACTAAAACTTTATTTATAAAAACAGACCCTGGGCCAGATGAGTCGATGATGGCAATGCAGTGAAGGATGCGTGGTGTCAAGTGTGCTCAAGGTACGGGGGGTGGGGATGGGGGACAACTCAGGCAGACATAAGACTAGACCCGAAGTGTCCTAAGTTCCCATTTAAAGCAAGTTAAGGGCACAGGAACCTGAAGTGAACCAGCACTGGGCATGCCAAATGGCCCGTCGCCAGTGCCTGCTCACGTGAGTGCTGGAGACTTGGGAGCACAGAGTCCTCTGCGGAGTTCTGGTATTCCAGATTTCTCTGGACCTGAAAAACGAGCCCGCGCCTCCAGGCGGACGGCCAGTGAACATCAGCCAACAGTTGGCAGGAAATCGATTATGTGGTTCAGTTCAGGCCCTGAAGCACGGGAGGGGGGCGGGGTGTGGTGAGAGAGAGGGGGAGAGAGGGAGAGGGAGAGAGTGCCCGGCAGCAGGCACGGGAGGGAGCAGGGCCCTCTGGGCAGCAGGGACAGAGCTGGAGGTGAGAGGGGTCTGCCCCTCAAAACCTGATGGTCCTAAGCCCCAGAGTGATTCCCCCTCACCACTGCAGTCCTGGGGGCTCGCCCCTCCTCCGAGCCCTCTTACTCTGACGGTCACCACAGTTCACATGGCGGGGAGGTCCAAACACACAACCCTGGAAAAGCCTCTGAACTAAAAGGCTTCCCAGCCGGCCCAGAGCAAAGGCACTAGGGTGATTCTGGACTTGAGGGCTTTGGAACAGTGTTGGCAGTGGCTGAGGAACAATGTCATTGTCACGTCGGCCAACCTTCCTGCGGAGGACCAGCCGAGGCGCTTCACAGGCATGATCTCACCGGCATGGCTCTGCCCCCACTTCGGAGATGAGGAAACCGAGGCACAAGAGAGCCCCAGACTGCACAGCCAGTAAGAGGTGAGGCCAGGACGTCCACCCCAGCTACGTCAGACCCTAAACTCAGAACGTATTCACCATTCCCAGCTTGCCTCCCTCTCTGAGGCTACATCTGGACAAGGGAGGGCAGGGGCTGGCCACCAGCAGAGGACCCTCCAGGCCGGCAGTGAGGACAGAGGGCAGAAGGGCAGGGACCTGGGTCTGTCGCTGCCCCGCCAGCCTACGCCCACCTTCCCATCCACATGAGGGAGGTGACATGGAGCCAGGGAGGGCAAGGACACCCACTTACCAGCCCCTCGGGCCCAAGGATCAGAACCACGATTAGCGAGGTGCCACGTGGCATCCAGCAGATGGCAGCCACTGAGGGGGCCCAAAGGGGCTTCTCACACTGGCAGCCTGGGGCCGGGCCCGCTGCATTCTCCGGCCCTAACGAGGGCACCTTTGTTGACAACACTCCCCCCTTCCTCAGCAGATCTGCTGCTGCCCCTACGGGGGTGTTCACACCCAGGTTAGTCTGTGATGGGGTTCGAGACACACCACCCTGACACTCGGCACCTTGGCATACTGAATATTTCAGGCTGCAGGAACTTGAGCAAGGGCAGGTGCTGCAAGAGGTAGCCGCCCTTCTCCCCTGAAGCAGCTCATAAGACCCTCGAGTGAGAAGTGCCCTCCCTCTACCTGCAGGAAAGGAGCCTCCTCTTTCCAAGATGGAGGGACACCAAGAGGAATCCCAGCAGGCCTCACTAAGTGTGCCCCTTTACTACCCTTAGCTCATTGCCTTTTGTCCTATCACGTTTTCCCACGACTTCCCACTCCTCATCAGGCCTAACATAAAAATGCTCACACACAACTGTTTCTTCGGGTCTTCATTTCCTTATGAAGGCTCCTGTGTCACATAAAACTAATGTTGGATATTTATTTAACATTTATTTAACATGCTTTTCTTCTGTGAATCTGTCTTTTGATGCAGGGACCCCGCCGGGACCGTGGAAAAGCGATTTTCCCTTCCCTCCTGCTGAGTCACAAGTTCCAGGTCCCCCAGCACGCAGGGGCCAGGGCACTTGTGGGCCTGTTTGCCATCATCCTCCTGCCAACACAACACTTGGTGCCTCCCGGTGCCCGCTGGGCCTTCGGGACACAGTTCTACTTGGATCTCATGATGTAGTACCCCAGACGGAAGATGGAAGAGTTGGCTGCACATCTTTTTCCTTTCTTTTTTAAATACGTGTAATATTAAGATAAAAACAATGTTGGAGTGCCTGGGTGGCGCAGGTGGTTAAGCGTCCGGCTCTTGGTTTCAGCTCAGATCATGATCCCAGGGTTGTGGGATGGAGCCCCGTGTCGGGCTCTGTGCTCAACCGGGAGTTGGCTTGGGGTTCTCTCTCTCTCCCTCTGACCCACCCCCTGCTCATGCTCTCTCTCTTTCTCTCTCTCAAATAAATAAAATCTTTTTTAAAAAAGATAAAAACAATGTCGAATAATGTTGAAATAATAGAAATGTCTAAGCGTGACTGGTTAGAGATTTAGTTCCTTTTCCAAATTTAAAAAAGAAAGGAGGCAAATTTCTCTTTCACCAAAAGGAACACTGAATCGCCCTTCTGCTGTATGTGGCTCTAGGATTTTGTTTTTGGGTTATTGCTCTGTCACTGGTCAGGGTTACTGGATGAAGACATTAGAGATAGAACAAAAATCTGACTCGGCCCCTCCACCAAGAAAGAAGGTCAGGAAGCAGAGGGTGTAGCGTGAGCCACGCACTTCCCGTGGCAATACCCAGTGACCGCCCCCTCCCCCCCGCCCCGCCAGGGACCCTCCAGGTGGTCTCGCCATTCCTGCCCAGGGTGATAGTTGGGCATAGGGCCGTAGGTTACCGTTCAGGCTGTCATCAGCAGCTTCTGAGAGCGACTCATCACGAGGCCCAGCCTCACTCCTTCCAGGGGAGGAGAACTTGTCATGCCGCACCATTGAGGCTGACTTTGGAGAGGGGCCAGGGATGGAAAGCGATGCCGTGTGGACAGCTGTGTCCCCTGAAGTGTGAGTCTGTGAGGAGTGAGCTCTCGAGCACACGCTGCGAAGGGTCCCGTCTGCGGACTGTGAGGCTGGCAGAGGTGATGTCCGAAATGACTTTGGGCTGGAAAGTTCCTCACTGGGTAGCGAAAGGATTCTTGGCTGCATTGGGATCTGATCCTACTTTGGCGGAAATAAATGAAATTAATTACCAAACAGGTGACAATGAAGTCCTTACCACTGAACAATGTGGCCGGAGTGGGGCATGAGGCCAAGGATCAGCAACCAAATAGTTCTCTTTCTGTGCCTCTTTCTCTCCCTCTCCCCTCATTTCTAGGAGTCAAGCTACAACATTTAAACAAGATAATACTGGGACCAGAAATATTCCACAAGTGATCAGAAATATCACTTGGCTTTCAAATAAATTTTGTTAATTACACCTTTTCTAAATTAAGGCCCCTGAGGGGCACCTGGGTAGCTTAGTCAGTTAAGCATCTGCCTTGGGATCATGATCTCAGGGTCATGGGATCGAGTCCCACATCGGGCTCTGTGCACAGTTCAGAGTCTGCTTAAGGATTCTCTCCCTTGCCCTCTGCCCCTCCCCCAACTCATGCTCTGTTTCTCCCTCTCTCTCAAATAAATAAATAAAATCGTTTAAAAAATAAATAAAATTAATTAAGTCCCCTGAGTATATGGTCTATGATAGCCTGGACCTTCAACAGAACCAAAATGTATATACAGGTATTTTTTCCCCTTAAAATACAGCCTTTCCATCACTTTACACCCATGAAGATGGCTCTAGTCACCAGTGTTAGCTCTGATCACAAGTGCTGGTGACAATGTGGAGAAATTGGAACCCTCATGCACTGCCGCCAGGAATGCAAATGGCCCAGCTGCTGTGGAACATAGCTTGGCATTGCTTCAGTACGTTACACATGGAATTACTAGAGGGCCCAGTCATTCCGCTCGTAGGGACAGACCCAAAAGAACTGAAAACAGGGACTCAAACAGGTATGTGTACACAAATGTTCATAATAGCACTATTCACAAATAGCCAAAAGGTGGAAAAGACCCAATATGCCCGACAATGGCTGGTGGAGAGATAAGATGTAGTATATTCACACAATTGAGTCTCACTCAGCCGTAAAAAGGAATTAAGCTCTGACACATGCTACAATGTGGATGAACCTCAAAAACATTACGCTGAGTAAAAGCAGCCAGTCCCACAGAAGGTCACATACTGGATGATTCCATGTATATGAAACATCCCCACCAGGCAAATCCACAAAGACAGAAAGCCGATTAGAAGTTGCCAGGGGCTGGGGGAGGGGAAAATGAGGAGTGATTATTTAACAGGTACAGGGTCACCTTTGGGGCTGACGAAAATGTTCTGGAACCAGACAGAGGTGGTGGTTGCACATCACGAATGGACTAAATGGTGCTGAATTGTTCATCTTACAAATGTTACTTTTCGGTTATGTGAATTTCATCTCAACTGAAAAAAAATCAAGTGCAGCTCCACCACTTTTCCCGTGTGGGGCCCCTGACGAGCACGTATGGATCGGCACTGGCGAGCAGTCACACCAAGCGCTGACCCGAGGTGCACACACTTCCTCCAGGTGTTATAAACTGCCTAATGCGTCCCAAATCCTGTCACCCACAGAGCAGGGCCCAAAACAGGCAGCCGAGACTGGCTGGAGCCCAACCGTTCCTTGTCAAACCCCTTCCTTAGTAGCCCGCGGGAGACGGCTGCTGTCCAGTCTCTAGCACCGTGACCTGAAGAGCAGACGCAAGGCTTCGGTAAGAATAAGTATATGCGGGGCACCTGGGTGGCTCAGTCGCTAAGCGTCCAACTCTTGATTTCGGCTCAGGTCATGATCTCAGCTTCCTGAGATCGAGCCCCACATCGGGCTCCACGTTGGGCATGGAGCCTGCTTAAGATTCTCTCTCTCTCCCTCTCCCTTTGCCCCTCCACCTGCTTGTGATCTCTCTCTCTCTCTCTCTCTAAAATAAATAAAATCATGGGGCGCCTGGGTGGCTCAGTCGTTAAGCGGCTGCCTTCGGCTCAGGTCATGATTCCAGGTCCTGGGATCAAGCCCCGCATCGGGCTCCCTGCTCGGCGGGAGGCCTGCTTCTCCCTCTCCCACTCCCACTGCTTGTGTTCCCTCTCTCGCTGTCTCTCTCTGTCAAATAAATAAAATCTTTAAAAATAAATAAAAATAAAATAAAATAAATAAAATCTTAAAAAAAAAAAAGAGTAAGTACACACAGGGGCGCCTGGGTGGCTCAGTCGGTTGAGCATCCAACTCTTGATTTCAGCTCAAGTCATGATCTCAGGGTCGTGGGATCCAGCCCTGTGTCGGGCTCCGCACTCAGAAGGGAGTCTGCTTGAAGATTTTCCCTCCCTCTCCCTCTGCCCCTCCCCCCTCAAATAAATAAATAAATCTAAATAAATAAATAAATAAGAAGTACACGCAAACCTTACCGAGAACAGTTTTGTCTGTTCTTTCTCACTGACTTTGGGGCTGCCGAAACAGTGATTCGTGTGTGTTTCTTTTTCTCTAGACGATTCTAGCAAGCTTCCCAGCAACTCTTTCATTTCCTCCTCATCGCTGTCTGGAGAATCTAGTTTTCTAGTAGGTTTTTTCTCTTTGGGTGTTTGAAAATTCCTCTCTTTTCCAAAATGTGCTTCAGGGAAGGTATTTTCAACGGGTGGTTCTCTCCTCTTTAGAAACCTACTGACCTTCCCATTCCGCGTGTTGCTCTTGGCCATGGAGACTTCACGGGCTTGTTTCTGGGAGGTTTTATCCAGGCTGTGTGAAGGAAGTTTGACTGTACTCCTGGGGAGGACTGTGTCTGTGCTCTTTGGAAGACTGTCCTCAGAGGTCTTCAGGTCAGATTCCATGTCAGACAAATCCATCTTCGCCTTCCGATTCATGATCTTGGTTTCTATCTGAGCCAGCTTTGTGAGCGTGGCGCTGGCCCTGAGCTTCGAGGCAATGGTTGGGGGTCTCCCTGAGGAGAGCTTGTGCCCACCCTCCACAACAGCCTTCTCTTTCAGAAGTGAGTGTTCTACACCCATGGTTTGGTTTCCTTTTAGAAATCTGCTATGAGCAGGTGATATTTTGGTAAGACTTCTACTGATTTTCAAGTTTCTGATTTCTTCTATTTTTGAATCTTCTAAGGAAATATCACTAAAATCACCAAAAATGTTGCGCATGGGATGGCCGGTTCTTCTTATGGAAGCCATTCTAGGGAGTAAAGAAAGGAAAACGTAGAGTAAGAATACCTGACGTTAAGGGCGCCTAGGTGGTTCAGTCGTTAAGCAGCTGCCTTCGGCTCAGGTCATGATCCCAGAGTCCTGGGATCGAGCCCCGCATTGGGCTCCCTGCTTGGTGAGCCTGCTTCTCCCTCTCCCTCTGCCTGCTGCGCCCTCTGCTTGTGTTCTCTCTCTCTGTCAAATAAATAAATAAAAATCTTAAAAAAAAAAATTTGACGTTCATATTGTGCCTTCAAATCCCTCAGTGCCTCCCGTATGAGAGCTCAGATCCTTCCTTGCAGTCTGGCTAGAGCCCTTCCTTCAAGCCCCACAATGACAATGAAAACGTCAACACCCAGTAGCACCGACTGAATTACCATTCTATGCCAGGTCTTCAATGAGATGCGTTAAACATTAAACAGAAAAGCCAGTGCTTCTCAGGCTCCAGTGGTGTGCCTGGCACTCTGCTCAGAGCTGTATTATCTCATTTAATCCTCATGCAACCGTGATCCCCCTTTTAGAGGAGGCCAAGAAAAATAAAAGCCCCCGAAGTTTAGGTCACCGGCCAAGGTTGCCAGTCGAGGTCACCTGGCTGGTGAGCAGCAGAGCCAGATTCAAAGCTCAGGTCTGATTCCAAAGTTCCCCTTCATCTCCACCGTGCTTCGTTGCCTGGCCAGTTACACCACCACTCACTCCCCAAATCAGGGCTCCTCCTTTACCCAACAGTCCTTCCAGTGTGAAAACTACTGCCCTGGAAAGACAAAGGGGCTACGGACACAGCACCCCCCACCAAGGTCAGCTGCATGGTGCACCCACATGCTGGTGTACGTTCTTTGGGGGAGAGAGGTCAGTGCTTTCATCATATTCTCAGAGTTCCCATGTGTCCCTAAAAGAATAAAAATGACCCACCACAAGATTTCCAAAGGTTTCGAAAAAGTTTAAAATCTTAAAAAGATGGAAAAATATCATCTGAGTGGGTGTGTTTGCTGCAGCCCCTTGAGTAAGGAACACGCCAACAGCAACGCAAATGGGAGATGCAGAGACCCCGTGACCTGGCAATTCCACGTCTGGGAATTTACCTACAGTTACACCCAGAAACGCACACAGAGATGCGTGTTCAAGGAATGTCACAGCAGTATTGTTTGTACTTGTCAAAAACCTGAACCCATCCATAGAGACCTGGTGCGATCCAGAAGAGCGCATGCAGATGAGGGAATACGATGCAGCCGTTAAAAGGAACGAGGGAGATCTGTGCATAATAACGTGGCCAGCATAATACTATGTGAGGCAGAAAAGACAAGATGCTCAACCATTGCTTGTTCCCATATTGCTTGAATGTTTTAGCAAGGCCATGCGTTATTATTATTTTTTTTTTAACTCACTGTGAGACCTAAAAAAGCCTTTTTTCCCATCCCTGTCCACTTGGAAAATGAGCTCACTGGGATTGCCAGATTAAATACAGGACACCCAGTGATTTGAATTTACGATAAATAGTAAATAATTTTTAAAATATGAGTATAACACTAATTTTTTTTTAAGTAGGCTCCACACCCAGCACGGAGCCCAACACAGGCCTGCACTCACAACTCTAAGACCAAGACATGAGCCGAGATCAAGAGTCAGATGCTTAACTGACCGAGCCACCCAGGTACCCCGACTCAGATTATTTTTATACTAAAAAGTAGTATGTTCCAAGCACCTTCAGACTAAAAATTTATTTATTGGTTATCTGGAGTTCAAATTCAACTGGGTGTCCCGTATTTTTATTTGTTAAATCTGGCAAGCTTATGTCTTCTGCGCCTTCCAAACCTGAACTCAAATGTTTTGTGCAAGGAAAAGTATTTAACCCAGCCCTAAGATTCTGTATAAGAGTGAATTATTTTTCTTTTACTCTCTGTTTCTCTGCCTGGTGTGCTGGCCTGCTTGTCCCCATCTTAACCACCGGGGCACTAAGGCCTGAGCTGGGTACTAACAGTACTAACTAACCTACCTAGCACAGGCCTGACCATAGGGGTCAGTGAATACAAAACCACCCCCAACAGAAACAGTGCAGAATTCCTAGCCTGTGTGACACTGAGCAAGTTACTTAACCAGTCTGTGCTTCAGCTTGCTCATCCTAAAAAGGTGGTAATAACTATGACCCTCACAGGATTCCTATGGTCATTGTAGGGCAGGAATAAATAGTAAGATTTAGATAGTAATGTCTGGAATACGTACTTTTAACTGGCTTTTAGCTGGAAGGACGTGGTAAAGAGGAAGTGGAGCACACTGGCACATCGACAGCTTTATTTTTTTGTAACTGAAGCTCAGGAGAGGACTCGGCCCCGGCCATTCTGTGGGTCAGAGGGAAAGCCTGACCACCAGGCCAGGTTTTCGGGCATCTAGTTCTTCTGCAAGTTTCCCTAGGTTTAAAAATAAATCAATAATGGTTAAAGAGGCAAATTTTGTGTCAAGTCCATTTTACCACAAGCTGATCTATTTTTAAAACACACAATTAAAAATAAACCAATGGACAAAAGATATGAACAGACATTGCACTGAAAAAAAAAAAGATATGAATGGCCAGCAAACACACGAAAAGACGTTCAATGTCACTAGCCACTAGGCAAATGCAAATCGAAACCACCAGATCCCACTTCACAGCCACTAGAATGCCTACAATCAGAACTACAGATAACAAGTGTGGTTGAGGATGTGAGAAAACTGGAACCCTCATACACTGTCATGGGGGACTGTGAAATGGTACAGGGGCCAATTTGGAAAACAGTCTGGCAGTTCCCACGTAGCCCAAGAAGACTGAAATGTATGCAAACGTTCACAATAGTATTCGTAGTAGACAAGAAGTGGAAACAACCCAAAAGTCCATTAACTAATGAATGGATGAGAACTGACGTCCATCCATAAACGAAATACTGTCCAGCAATAAGAAAAGAACAAATACAGATACACACAACACGCATGCATCTCGGACACATCATGCTAAGGGAAAGTAACCGGATGCAAAAAAAAAAAAAAACCCACACTGTATGACCCCATTCATAAGGATCATCCAGAAAAGGCAAATCTGCACAGTCGCAAAGCACCTCAGTGGTTGCCTGGGGCTGGGAGTGGGAGCGAGGAGGGACTGCAAAGGGCCAGGAGGGATATCCTTGGGGCGACGGAGAAGTCCTAAAGCCGGACCGTGGTGATGGCCGCACCACTCGGTAAACTTATAAATAAAAGGAACTGAACTGTACACTTAACAGGGGTGAACTGTATGGTACGTAAACGAATCTTCAATCCAGTTGTTAAAAATAAGTAAAGCTAACTTTGAAAACACTGGCTCCCTTCAGACCATCGGGCTCTTCCCCACCGCCGGGAGCGACCCACTCCCGACCACGCTCCCAAGTGGGCCCGGACGGGGAAACAGGCGTGAGGCGCCGGGCCGCCCTCCCGCCGCCCTCCCAGCCCAGCTTCACAGAACGCTCCCCTTTCCCCGCAACTCCTCTCCCGAGTCCGGACGCCAAGCCCTCGGCAGCCCAGCCAAGCCCTCGGCAGCCCAGCCAACCCTGCCAACCTCCTCCCACGATGTCCATCCGCAGAGGCCGCCACCGCGATACGGCCAGCCACTCAGGCCAGATGGGACCGTTGCCCCCGGCAACAGCGCCAGGGCGGAAGAGACTACATATCCCGGCGCGCGCCGCGCTCAGGGGACCAATGGGACACCAGGTCACTATCGCGATGCGTCATGGGAGTGGTAGTGCCGGGACGGGCCCGGCGTGCACTGCGCGCTGGGGGCCAATGGTGCCTCAGGTCACAATCGCGAGGCGTGACGGGAGTTGTAGTTCTGGGCCGGCCCGGCACGCCGCGGAGACCTCTGGGAGCAAAGGAGCGGTTACGAGAAGTGCAGCGCGCCTTCCATGGCTGTGGCTCACGTTCCGCTTTGGGCGGTCTGCATGCTGAGGGTGGCGCTAGCCACGGTCTACTTCCAAGAGGAATTTCTAGACGGAGGTGAAGAGGCGACGCCCGTGGTGGTGGAGTGGGGGCGTAAGCTGCCCAGCCAATAGCCCGAGTCACCATTGCCCCAGTTCATCGCCGCGGGATCGGTGGTGGCGAAGCCTCGACGCTTCGAAGCCCTGAGCCTCCCCCTCCTACCCGCCCCCCCCCCCACACCTTCCATGACTCCAATGAACAGTTTCAGCCCCAACCCGTGTTGTTTCCCCCCACAGAGCGCTGGAGGAACCGATGGGTGCAGTCCACCAATGACTCTCAATTTGGGCATTTTAGACTCTCGTCGGGGAAGTTTTATGGTCATAAAGAGAAAGACAAAGGTTAGTGTAGGAATGGTGAGGAAATCGAGCTAAGTGTCCCACAGCCCCCCCCACCACCACCATAGCAACCTTGCAAGGTAGGTGTGGCACACCCCAACATCCCTTAAAGCTGTTTCACTGATGGGGAAACTAAGGAAGGCTTGGATAAAGTCTGGCACTACTTTTTCTTTCCTTTCTTTACTTGCCAAGATTGCCCCATTGTATACCAACTAGTCGCATGAGTTTGGAGACCCCAGATCTTTGACCTGCAAAGGGAAGAAAGTTAAGGGATATTTCTCATTTTTGTTTTCACTTTAAGAAGGAAAAAATGAGGATAAAAGGTACGTGTTGTCAGGTGCATAGATCTTAGGGGTACAGAAAGATGAGTGTTTACATCTGTACACCCTGGTCAAGATAGGGAACATTTTCAGAGGTCCCCCTTGCACCCTCTCCCCCCCCTGCCAAGTCAGTACCCTCCTGGTACCAAGGATGACTTCTGTCTTCTCATTCCTGATGATAAAAGATGAACACACCACAACTCATTTACCACCGGTTGTTTGCACAGCTGGTGAGATAAGAATGATTTTTACATTTTTTAATTGTTGGGGGAAAATCAAAAGGGGAATAGTATTTTATGTTACAGGAAAATTATATAAAATTCAGTGAAATATATGAAATTTCAGTGTCCATAAGTAAAGTGTTTATGGAACACAGCCATGCCCATTCATTTACATAGAGCTATGGCTTTTTTCATGCTGCAAAGACAGTAAGTTGGGACAGAGACCATATGGCCCACAAAGTCTAAAATATTTGTTCTCTGGCTTTGCAGAAAAGGTTTGCAGACACCTGATTTAGATGGAAAGTTTCCCTCTTCACCAGCCTTCCGCTCAACCTCCATCTTGGCTCTGTTACTCCAAGCTGTTGGCAGCTTCCAGTTTTCTACTATATATGCATTGTTTTCTAAGTTACATGTTGACTCCATGAGTTGGTCAATATTCGGCCCATAGGACAAAAGTAGAGTGAAATTAACAGGTGGTTCCATCAAGCTTGTCCAAGGATAGGGGTGTCCACTTAGAGTCATTTGGGTTTTCCCCCCACAGTGTTTTTTCTTCTTCTAGTCTGGGATCCTGAGACTCTGTGTTTCATTCACCCCAGCACACATCTACTGAAAGCACACATTTACTGAAAGCACACATGGGCGAGGCACTGGGGATACCAGTTAATTTGGCCCCTTTCATTGTGGTCTCTCAGGACCATCACACAGAAGTGGTGGATGGAAAGATAAATAGAATTTAGTTGGACAGAGATGGGAAGTGGTGAGAGATGATGGGGGTGGCTGAGGAGGGTGGTGAGAGAGAGGGAGGTGGTGAATCTTGGCCTTAGGAATTGCCTGGTTGGTAAGGGAGTGGGGGGGTGTGAGCCTATGAATTCTTTGAGAAAGGGAAGGGTGGGGGTGCAGAGAATGGAAGAGAGAGAGAGATGAGTGTGGTAGTGAGCGGTTAGCCAGGAGTTCAGGCTTGGACATACTGATAGAAAATGAAAATGCCAAGTGCATTTATGATGGATCTCAGCATTGGCAGGTATGGGGGCAGGAATGTGGAGCAAGGAAGACTAGGTTATAGTAAGACTGCCTCTGTTTTCAAGTTTGTCCTATACTCCAATATAAGATAAGGATTTGGTACAGAGCCTGTGGCTACTGAAAAAGGGGGGTTTAGTCTTAAAAGTGAACACCTAAACTTATAAGATATGAGATGATTCATGTGACAAAAGGGTGGTATCTTTAAAAAGAGGACAGTTCGGGCCAGCACATCCTGTGCAGTGAAGCACATTTTTACAGGACAGCACTCTGTACTCCATCCATTGTGGTGTGTGTTAGGCAACTATTTTAAGATTCGAATTAAAGAAAAGATGTAGGATGCTCTGTTTTTTAATTAAGTTGCTACACAAGCTTTATTGTATATTCCCACACTTTCTTTGGAAGATGACTCGAAGCAAAATTAACTTTTTATCCATAATTAGGTTGTATATTTGTCATTTAAAGCTGAAGTGTTTTTGTAACTTAGGACATGACAGTGGTATATTGAGCACAAAAACACCTGAGCGTGGAAAGTTCTGTGGCAGCAGAGAGCCTGTTAGTGGTATGCCTGTCGTGTGTTATTGTAAAAATGTGTTTTAGGCTCTGGGTTGACATAAGTTGTTATTACTGGGGGTGGGAGAAGGACAGCCATTTAATTCCCTGCAGCACTGAGCACAGTGTCGTACCTAATCCTTCATGAGTATTTTTTTTTGTTTAAAGGTCTGCAAACCACTCAAAATGGCCGATTCTATGCCATCTCTGCACGATTCAAACCATTTAGCAATAAAGGGAAGACTCTGGTCATTCAGTACACAGTGAAACACGAGCAGAAGATGGACTGTGGAGGGGGCTACATTAAGGTCTTCCCTGCAGACGTGGATCAGAAGAACCTGAATGGAAAATCCCAGTACTATATTATGTTTGGTGAGTTTAGATAGTACAAAACAACCATTTCTGGGGGCTTTGAATCCTTCCACTTCATAGAATCCTCTGCTTAAGACTTTGCCAAAACAGTAGTATTGAGTATATCTGACCAAAGGTTTTTAATACTGTTTAACCTAATTAATATAAAAAGGCAACTGTACCATTCTATTGTAACTTTTTTTTTAAAAAAAAGATTTATTGGACGCCTGGGTGGCTCAGATGGTTAAGCATCTGCCTTCGGCTCAGGTCATGATCCCGGGGTCCTGGGATCAAGTCCCGCATCAGGCTCCCTGCTCAGAAGGGGGCCTGCTTCTTCCTCTCCCTCTGCTGCTCCCCCTGCTTGTGGTCCTTTGCTCTCTCTGTCAAATAAATAAATAAAATTTTTAAAAATAAATAAATAAAGATTTAGGGGCGCCTGGGTGGCTCAGTAGTTAAGCCTCTGCCTTCGGCTCAGGTCATGATCCCAGGGTCCTGGGATCGAGCCCCGCGTCGGGCTCCCTGCTCCACGGGAAGCCTGCTTCTCCCTCTACCACTCCCTCTGCTTGTGTTCCCTCTCTTGCCATGTCTCTGTAAAATAAATAAATAAATAAAATCTTTAAAAAAAAAAAAGATTTATTTATTTTAGAGAGTGTGTGAGTGAGTGGGGGAGAGGGGCAAAGAGAGAGAGAGAATCCTGAAGCAGACTCCCCACTGAGTGTGGAGCTGGACGTGGAACTCAATCCCAGGACCCTGAGACCATGACCTGAGCTGAAATCAAATCAGTCACTTAACTGACTGAACTACCCAGGCGCCCCCTATTGTACTTTTGAGAAAGTTATTTATTCAACATTAAGGTAGCCCCAAGTACTTGGAATATATCAGGAGTCAGCAGACCTTGGCCGAGGGCCACATAAGCCCACAGCCTATGTTTGTTATGCCCTGTGAGCTGAGAATTGGTTTTAACATTTTTAATGATTGAAAAAAAACCAGAAGGATAATATTTTTGAGGCATGAAAATGATAGGAAGGCCAAAATGTTTCCTGTCTATCCCCTGCTGACTCCTGGAACGCTTTAAATATCTCCTGATAACAGGAGTAATTGATTAAAAGTTGTGCCAGAATCGGGATGGGACCACATTGGGCCATAGGAACTAGACATAACTGAAGGGTGTGGATTCAAAAAGCTTTCAGAATGAAGAGGATTCTGGGAAAATGGAGTAGGAAGCACCAGGAATCCATCTCCCCACCTAGACAACAATCATAACAACAGAATCTGATGTAACTGTCTTGGAACTCTGAAGTCTATGGAAAGATTGCCTCTTCCAGGGAAAGAATGGGAAGGTTAATTTTGGTTAATTTCACCTCTTACCACAGTAGATATATCCAGCCCCCATTTCAAGCCACAAGGCAGACAGCTATGTGTGTGCTCCTGGAGTAACCCACACACAGCTTGCCACAGAGAGGGTGGGCAAAAAGGACTCTGTCCTCCAAATATCAGGGATCTGAGCTCTGATTGCTCATTGCTCTTTCTTATCACAGAGGTGCAGACAAAGAGGTGAACAGCAGACTTTTGTGTGTTATTGAAGTTAAACTAGTATAAATTCAAATTAGAGCCTTATAACTTTAGGATGTTAAATGTAATCCCCATGGTAACAACAAAGACAATAGCTATAGAATATACACAAAAGGAAATTGAAAAGGAATTGAAACATTTCCCTACAAAAAATCAACTAAAAACAAAAGACAGCACTGTAGGAAATGAGGGACAAAAAAGCTGAAGGGCATATAGAGAACAAATAGAGTGACAGAAGTGAGTCCCCTCTTATCAGTAATTACTTTAAATGTAAATGGATTAAACTCTCCAGTCAAAAGATAGAGATTGGCAGAATGGATAAAAACACATGATCCAACTATATGCTATCTACAAAAGACTCATTTGAGATCCAAAGACACAGGTTGAAAGTGAAAGAAAGGGAAAAGATATTACAGGCAAATAGCACCCAAAAGAGAGCAGGGTGGCTATATTAATATCAAACAAAATAGATTTTAACTAAATAAAAAAGGTTATAAGAGACAAAGGATGTTACATATTAGTAACAAGGTCAATATAGCAAGAAGATGTAATAATTATAAACATTTACACACCTAATGAACATCAAAATATATGAAACAAAAACTGGTAGAATTGAAGGGAGAAGTGGACAGGGATGATAAAGATTAGAGTAGAGATAAATGAAATCATGAGTAGAAAAACAACAGAGAAAATCAATGAAAGCAAAAGTTGGTTCTCCAATAAGATCAAGAAAATTGACAAAACCTTTAGCTAAATGGACAAAGAAGACTCAAATTACTAAAACCAAATTACTAAAACTAAAATGGGATGTTACTACCAATTCTACAGAAATAAAAAGAATTATAAGACAATACTAAGAACAGTTATACACCCCCAAATTGGATAACCTTGATGAAATGGACAAATTCCTAGAAACACAAAGCCCACCAAGACTCATGAAGAAATAGAAAATCCAAAGAGATCTATAAATAGTAAAGAGAGCAGTAAGCCAAACTCTCCAAACAATGAAAAGTCCTGAATCTGCTGAATCTCTCATGAATTCTATGAAACATTTAAAGAAGAACTAATACCAACCCTTTTCAAACTTTATGAAAAGAATTGAAGAGGAGGGGATGTGTATTTCCCAACTCATTCTATGAAGCCAGCATTATCTTGACACCAAAGACAGACACTGCAAGAAAAGAAAACTACAGAACAATATCTTTATGGACACTGATACAAAAATCCTCGACAAAAAACGAGCAAAAAGAATTCAGCATATTAAAAAGGATTATACGCTATGACCAAGTGGCATTTCTACAGGTCTGCAAGGATGATTTGAAATACGAAAAACAGTCAATATTATATGATACATCAACAGAATGAAAGAAAAACACATGATCATCACAAATTTTATCATTTCAAGATAAAAACAGTCGACAAACCTGGAATAGCAGGAAACTACTTCAACATAATAAAAGCTATCTATGAAAAACCCACAGCAAACACAGTGGTGAAAGAAAAAGCTTTTCCTGTAAGATCAGAAACAAGGCCAGGATGCCCACTCTCACCACTTCTATTCAACATAGTACTAGAAGTCCTAGCCAGAGCAATTAGGCAAGAAAAATAAATACAAGTCATCCAAAGATCATATAATTTCTTCCTTTGCAGATGATAGGATCTTATACATAGAAGTTCATAGAGATTGCACACACACACACAAACTATTAGAACTAATGAATGAATTCAGCAAAGTAGCAGGATACAAAGTCAACACACACACAAAGAAACAGTTGCATCCCTATATATGAACAATGAACAATTTGAAAGTGAAGTTACAAACACAATTCCATTTACAGTAGCATCCAAGAGAGTAAAATACTTAGGAATTAAGCAAGGAGGTGAAAGACTTGTACAGTGATAACAACAAAGTATTGCTGAAGGAAATTAAGACATAAATAAATGAAAATATATCCCATGTTCATGGATTGGAAGACTCAATAGTGTTAGAGTGTTAACACTAGACAAAGCAACCTACAGATTCTAAGCAATATACACATTCAATCTAATTTCTTTTTTTTTTTTTTGAGATTTTATTTATTTATTTGACAGAGAGAGAGTTAGCGAGAGCAGGAACACAAGCGGGGGAGTGGGAGAGGGAGAAGCAGGCTTCCCACCGAGCAGCGAGCCCGATACGGGGCTCGATCCCAGGACCCTGGGATCATGACCTGAGCCAAAGGCAGACGCCCAACGACTGAGCCACCCAGGTGCCCATCAATCTAATTTCTATTAAAATTTCAATGACTTTTTTTTTTTTTTTTCAGAAACGAAAATATCCATTCTAAAATTCATATGGAATCTCAAGGGACCCTGAATAGCCAAAACAGTCTCAAAAAAGAAGACCAAGGGATGCCTTGGTGGCTCAGTTGGTTGGGCATCTGACTCTTGATTTCAGCTCGGGTCATGATCTCAGGGTCCTAGGATGGAGCCCCGTTTTGGGCTCCGCATTCAGCAGGGAGTCTGCTTGGGGATTCTCTCTCTCCCTCTTCCTCTGTCCCTTCCCCCACTTGCATGCTCTCTCTCTGTCCCTCAAATGAATAAATAAATCTTATTTTTTTTAAAGATTTCATTTATTTATTTGACAGAGAGACAGTGAGAGAGGGAACACAAATGGGGAGTTTTAAAAAGTGAAAAAAGTCAACGGAAATGTAGTTTTAAAATATCCATCGGTAATTCAAATTTGAGGAATGGTTTTTTAAAGTTCTTTTCTCTTGTGATGTGGATGTCTTGCAGAAGTTTTCTCTGTGATAGTTTTTCTTTCTTTCTTTCTTTCTTTTTTATTTTAAAGATTTTGTTTATTTATTTGACAGAGAGATAGCACAAGCAGGGGGAGCAGCAGAGGGAGAGGGAGAAGCAGACTCCCTGCCGAGCAGGGAGCCTGACGTGGGGCTCAATCCCAGGACCCTGGGATCATGACCTGAGCCGAAGGTAGCCTCTTAACTGACAGAGCCACCCAGGCACCCTTTGTCATAGTTTTTATATGCTTATCTCTGAATTTATCATGATCAGCATCAGGCTTTGGACACCTGTTATGCCATTTTCATGTTTGTATACACTGCTGGTCATAGTGTTACACAGAAGTAGAGAGAACAAGGCAGGCGTCTGGGTGGCTCAGTCAGTTAAACATCTGCCTTTGACTCAGGTCATGATCTCAGGATTCTGGGATTGAGCCCTGCTTCGGACTCCCTGCTCAGGGGGGAGTCTGCTTCTCCCTCTCTCTGCTTATGCTCTCTGTCTCTGTCTCTATCAAATAAATAAATGAAATCTTTAAAAACAAAAACAAAAAAACTGAGGCTCAGGGAGCAGGGGCTGGGTGGCTCAGTCAGTTAAGCAGTTAAGTGTCTGCCTTGGGCTCAGGTCATGGTCTTGGGGTCCTGGGATGGAGCCCTGTGTCAGGCTCCCTGCTCAGTGGGGAGTCTGCTTCTTCCTCTCCCTCTGACCCTCCCCGTTTGTTCTCTCTCTCTCTGCACTCAATCTCTCAAATAAAATCTCAAAAGAAAAACCAAAACAAAACCTTAAGGCTCCCAAAGATTAAACTTCCTTGCCCAAAGGCAGGTCAGCTTGTTTTGAGCCCTTCTGTCTACCCCATTTCCTCATAAAAATACATTATGTGCATAAATATTTTATGATCACTGTTAACGGAAAATGTCCAGATTTTCCGGTCATGTCTGGGCATGTTCTGAAGCTTAATTTAATATTTAAAACATGTAGGTGCTTAGAAATAGGAAAATTCTGACCAGTTTTAAAGGAAAAATTTCATGTTTTAATCCCCAGGTAGTAGACTTTCATACAAATAGTTCACATACCATAGCTTTTGTTTTAAAAATTGAACTGGAATGTTTTCCAGTGATAAGAAAAAAAGGAAATTACACAAACAAGCATCCTCTGAGAACTCAGGGAGGTAGACATGGTGTTTTTTGTTCGTCCCTCAGGATGCCACTTCCAAGTTCAATGTCACATCCACTCTAGCAAATTGATAATGTCCTTTAAGTAATTATGTGCAGCCTGGATCTCTCTTAATTCTGAAGGTTCATCACTGCAAGTTCTAGAAAAAAAAATTCGCAGTCATCTGCTTGTGTTTACACAGCCTCACAGAATCCCTAGGGGTGGGTGCAGGCCCAGGTCAGTGGATGTGGTGAAATTTTATTTGAGACAGAAAGATACCCGGATGCTCTAGTACATTCCTAAGGCTTAAGGTCAATAAAGCAGCAGCGGGGTAATTTCAAACATCCTCGGAAGGTTTGACAAATTTTCCAGATTCCTCCTGCAAACCTTGTTTAGTATATCCAGAAACCCTTAATCTGAATATGTGTGTGTGTATTGGGACATAACAGCAACAAATACTGAGCTTTGCTGTATTAAATGCTTTACACACATTAGCCCATCTAACTGGCAAAATAGCCTTGGAAGATTCACATCCCTATTTTAGAGAATAGGACACAGGCATGGGGAGCTGCATAGATCCAAATATGTCTCAGCACAGTGAATAAGAGCTGGGATCCCAGGGCACAGGGCATCTCTCAGAGCTTCAGAGTGAGCCTAAGCCTCAGGCAGCACGTCAGGGACGCTTCCTAGACTGTTAAATCCTTTTCTTACTCAAGTGCTGCCTTACACTTGAGAAGCTGCCGTGATCAGAGAAGTAACCTGAAGGCCGTCGCTGTCCATTTCAGTATCCACACCAAAGTCTGGTTATTCCTGCACATGTAAGCTTCCGGTCCTCGTATGTTATTTCAGAGGAATGGCTGGCGTGACGCATTAGAGAAGGAAATTGAGAACAGCTCATTTTTTTTTTTTTTTGGTAGGACCCGATATTTGTGGATTTGATATCAAGAAAGTTCATGTTATTTTACATTTCAAGAATCAGTATCACTCAAACAAGAAATCAATCAGGTGTAAGGTAAGCTTTTGTATTCAAATCTGCGATTGTGTTAACTCTTCATGATAACCTAAATTTAGAGGAAATAGCTTTGATCTTAAAATATTTAATTGAGCCAGAGATGGATCTTAGCAAGACACTCCCTGCCCCTGGTTTCCAGTGTAGCAGGCTCATTAGAGATACCTACATACCCCGTTGGCTTGTTTTCTGAGGTTTGTACCCATCAGGAAGGTAGAGCCACTTTTTACTGTAACCTGCACTATGATTTGCCTTGTAGGGTTACAACAATATAGTCACAGTTCAGCTGTATCCCTCCTCACTAAGGAATGAAACATTCAGCATGGGAAAAAAAAAAACAAAACAAAACAGCCTGGAGAAATTAATCTTCAAAGTACCAAAACATTTAGAAATGGGAATGTTTCTGAAATGAAAGCGCACTTTATTACCTTCTACCCATGGATCCTGTGGAAATAACACTTTCTGCCTTGGAGCCCACTTTATAACTCCACGGCCCGGCCCAGGGCTTCTCCAAAGACACAGCTTGCATCAAGTCCCTGGCCCTGGGCCCATGGAAGGGAGGTGCACTCCCCGAAGCACCCCCTCCATTTGAATGGAGTGGCCAGGAAGCAGGGACCTGTCCCCTGGGCCACCCCCAGTGCCCAGAGCTCCAACATGGGAGGCCTCCACAAATCTGGGCGAATGTGGGCATTGATAGCATGGAGCGGAAGGGTCCTGACCCAAGCTGGGGGGTGTTCGGTCTCCCCACAAGCTCCAGTGAGTCTCTATCAACAGCGTGGTTCCCACCCACTGACTTGGTGACTGCAAAGGATCATCTGGTCCCCTCTACACCGAGAGGCCTGACATCCCTCCTGGGGGGGGGGGGTAAGGGAGAACTCGAAATCCAAATCTTAGTGCATAGGTTTTGTACCTGATTCCCAAGAAATTGTTCACTTGGGCATCAGGTGTGTAGGAGAGAGCAGAGGTCACACTAACAGAGGCTGTGGAGTCTGACCAGGACCATGCTGGGGAGGTGAGATAAAGCATGATCCGCTCAGGTCAGCAAGCCTGGTGGTGGTGGTGGGGGGGCGGGGGGAGGCGGGTTGAGTGGCACCTTCAGGCTGATAACGCTCTCAGATGTGTGCTATTTCTGCAACCTGCTAGAAAAATAAAATGCTTCTGTTGAAGGAGCCCTGACTCACAGCAAGTAGTCGGGCATTCCAGTCTTCCCAGTGAGGAGAAACTATCTCCAGGGGGTCTGATCCATTCGGTGATGCTGTGAAGGAACAGCTGGACACCTCCCCTACAGGCAGTGGTCAGCCCTTGGGGGTCTGCAGGGAGGGGGTCAGATCTGCATGTTAGAAAAATACCTCGATGCTCTTGGGAGGAGGGGTGGAGGGACAGGGTGATCAGTAGGCAGGGAGAAGGGTGAGATTGTTAGGCCAAGGCTTCAGTGGAATGCAGAACGGTAGACCGTTTTGACAGATAATTCAGGGGCGGGACCCAGAGGACTTCACAATGTTTGGAAAGTGAGTGCTGGGGATATGGACTATGACTCTCAGCAGCACTGCTATTTATCAGCAGGAAAAGCAAAGGCCAGTAAGGAGGCCAGGGAACAGTCAGGAATTGTGTTTGGAACTGTTGGTTGTGAAATCCTGGCAGACATCCAGATAGAGGTGTCCAGAAAGTTGTTGGAAACTGTGGTCTGAAGCTCAGGCCAATGGTTGGGATCAAAGATCCTGGTTTGGATCCATTGCATATGTGTGGGAGTGGATGTTATCCCTCAAGAGGCTCTGCACTTGTGGTTAAATCTTGGAAGGTACCAACAAGCTGGCCAGTGAGCCCAAAGTCGAAATTAGGAAAGGTGAGTGGAGATGAAGACGGGCAGAGAGCAGGGAGACAGCGTTGGGAGAAGTGTGTACTCAGCTGTCCCAGCGAACTACGGGGGTTGAGAGGGGCACAGAGCCATCGGCCATGGTATGAACAGCAGCGACCTGTCCCTCAGGGCAGAGCAGAGGGGTACTGAAGAAGCTTTTACCTTTGGCTCTTAGCAGAGGGAGGATCCTCCTGACAGAGCCTTTAAGATGCTGGGGCAGGGGTTCCCAAACCTGAACAGCGAGCATCAGCATCTCTGGAGAGTCCACCCAGGTGCAGATGTGCACCCAGAAATGTCAGACCTGGGAACTGACATTTCCCAGGCATTTCCCCAATGACACTGATCCTGCCCGGCCCCACTTTGAGAACTGAACGCTGCTGGAGCCTGGTGTATGAGTCCCCCCTGCTGCCGGCAGGCAGGCACATCCTGGGCACCCCCAACCTCCCCGGCACCCACTGTCCACCTTCCATCTCTTATTTATTGAATGCTTGCTGAGTGCTTCCCTTGTGTCTGGCCTGGGGCCTTAACTATGACCAAGAGAGACACCAGGGCTGCCCTCGCTGAGCTTAAATCGTTGGACAGCTCAGAGCATTAGAAAGTTCTCCCGTGTTGAAAAATAGACTAGGCTTCATTTGGTATCTTTCAGAAAGAGTACAGAACAGGAAGTTGTTTTCCTCATAACTTTTCATAAATCAAACAGAGCAGTGGTCCCTTGGTTTACACCCACCACCCTGTCATAAGCGCCTGTGGGGGTCTAGGTGGGAGCCGCTGTCTACAGAAAAGGAAGTCAGCCACTCAAGTCCACTTGGTAGTGAGAAAGTTTTGTACAAAGGGGAGACTTCTTCTTTAGGACACATTTTTTGTAGTCAAGTCAACCCCTGTCCCTAGAACCTCTCTCCTTCGTATCTATAACAAGGCTTTGAAGACTTAAACCATGTCTATAGACCTGCCCTGAAACGTCAAGGGTCTCATCATTATCCTTTCTCCCCTTAAAACGTGCAGGTTGACGGCTTTACACACCTCTATGCTTTGATTTTAAGACCAGACCTCACTTACGAAGTGAAGATTGATGGTCAGTCGATTGAATCTGGCGACATCGAGTATGACTGGAACTTAACGTCACTTAAGAAGATGGAGAAGTCCTCTGCAGAGTCCAAGGATTGGGACCAGGCTGAAGGTGACAAATCCCAGGTGTGGATTTTTCCCAAACAAGTCTGGAGAGGGTGCCAATGAAGTTTGTAAGTACCCGGGTCCTGTGGGATTGCTGCACGGCTGGTCATCACGATGTCAACATTATCACAAAGTGTCCTTCCCGGGGGCTCCTGGGTGGCTCAATCCATTGAGTGTCCAATGCTTGATTTCAGCTCAGGTCATGATCTCAGGATTTTGAGATTGAGCCCCACATTGGGCTCCACACTGGGCATGGAGCCTGCTTAAGATTCTCTCTCTCCCTCTGCTCCTTCCCCTGGCCCCCAGCATGCACTCTCTTTCTCTCTCTCTGTTAAAATAAATAAATAAATAATTAAAAAATCGATCTTTCTGGAAAAAAAAAAGTGTCCCCCCTGGGGCATTTGCTGCTGAAACCAGCCACACAGGGCGCCTGGGTGGCTCAGTTGGTTAAGCGACTGCCTTCGGCTCAGGTCATGATCCTGGAGTCCCGGGATCGAGTCCCACATCAGGCTGCCTGCTCAGCAGGGAGTCTGCTTCTCCCTCTGACCCTCCTCCCTCTTATACTCTCTCTCACACAAATAAATAAAATCTTGAAAAAAAAAAAAAAAAAAAAAAAAAAAAAAGAAACCAGCCACACAGCTTCACCCAGGTATTGTGAAAGAATTTTATATTTGATATGAAAGAAAGTTAGGTTTTGGTTTTTTTAACCAATGTTTTTTCTAAAAAAAGGATAATGCATCAACAGCCTTTATAAAAATGATTTTTTTGTTATTCTGAATTTGGACATAAAGTATTTTTTGAGCTTCACACTTGTGATTGACAAGCAAGAATCCGGTAACATAACGGCTATGCATTAGGTTCCTAGGGCTGATGTAACATAGTACCACAAGGTGGATGGCTTAAGATGACAGAAATGTATTCTCACATGGTTCTTGAAGGCAGAAGGCAGAAATCCAGGTGTCAGCAGGGTCACAACTCCCTCTGAAGGATCCAGGGGACAATCCTTTCCTCGTTTCTTCCAGCTTCTGTTGGCTCCTGAGTTCCTTGGCCGGTGGACATCAGTCTCTGCGTCCGCCTCCACATGGCCTTCTCGTGTCTCTTCTCTCTCTTTTAAAGACGTTTTCCCTTGGATTTAGGGCCCACCTGGATAATCCAGAATGATCTGCCTCAAGATCTTTACCTGGATTACATCAGCCGAGATCCTTTTCTCGATATAAGCTCGCATTCCCAGATTCCGAGATTTAGGATGCGGATCAGCTGTTCCACTCAACCCACCGTGAGCTACCTTCTGTCTTGTTTTGTTTTCAGTTTATGTTTATTGTTGCCACATTTTGTTTTGAACATCAAACACCGCACCAAACCCATGAGCCATTTATCTTAAGACAGTTGTCTTTGCCATAATAACTAAAAGTACTGGACTGTGTGTGTGTGTTTTTAAAGATTTATTTATTTATTTATTTGAGAGAGAGAGAGAGAGAACATGAGTGGGAGGGGCAGAGGGAGAGGGAGAGAGAATCTGAGGCAGACTCCCTGCTGTGCGCAGAGCCTGACACGGGGTTCCATCACGACCCTGAGATCATGACTCGGAGGCGAAACCAAGAGTCGGTCACTTAACCGGCTGCGCCAACCCAGGCGCCCCTGGACTGTGTTTACAATTCATTTCCGGCACCTTAAAACTAACCTGGGGCTCTGCTGTCTGACCATCAACTATGTCATCACAGACAATGTAATCAGTAAGGCAAAGGAACAAAGTCTAATCAACCTTCCGGAAGCTGGCCTCCAAGCTGGCTGTGTTTTGTCCATATGTTTGGTTCGGTGTGAGTTCCTCAACAGGTGAGTTCTTGATGGCATCATGATTTCACTGCTGCAATCCTAAGGAGCCCGCTACTTGGATTGAATTGTAACCATTTCCTGGTCCCAGCACAAGAGCGGCTCACCGTTGCCAGTTGGGGTGGGGGCAAAAAGCAGTAGGAGAGGCGACCAAATCCCATGTGTCAATCATTGAGAAGTGTTGCATATCCTGGAAAAGCGACGGTCTAAATGCAAAATGTTGCTATTTTTCAGTTATTCTAAAAGAGAGAAAGCATCATTGTATACAACTTTTATGCGTTTAAGTGTTTATCTAAATATTAATCCATAGCACCTTTTCCTCATCCATTTATTCAACAAATATTTGTTCAACACCTACTAAGCCACATATATATGTAGAGATGTGTAAATACGTATATATATGAGTACATGTATACATATGCATATGTGTTATATGTGTAGATATGTGTATACATATATGATAGGTGTGTATTATATATACGTGTGTATGCATGTGTGTTCATATGTATTATACACATGCATGTGTGCGTGTAGGTATACATGTGTATCTATATGTGTATAGTGTGACTGTTCATATATATATATATAGAAGGTCTATATAATGTAACTGCTTTCCTCCTGCTACCCAGCAGTCCCCAGGTAAGTCCTGGAACATTTCTTGGTTGTCTAGTCTCTCTCTCTGGAACATTCCATCTATGACTGCTGTGTAGAAGAACAGACCACCTAAGTAGCAGTGACTGTGTGCCCCTCCCCCCCATTGCCACTTTTGTCTCATCATTGTTTTTAAAGATTTTTTATTTATTTGAGAGAGAGAGAGCGAGCATGCACACGAGTGGGGGGCAGGGGCAGAAGGAGAGGGAGATAGAGAAGCAGTCTCCCCTCTCAGTACAGAGCCCAACGCAGGGCTCGATCCGAGGACTCTGAGATCATGACCAGAGCTGAAACCAAGAGGTAGCCACTTAACCGATTGAGCCACGCAGGTGCCCCTTGTCCCCTCATTTAACTTTAGCCACTGTTTTGAGTTTTGCACACTGTTGTTCCTCTCACCAGCTTGGGAAGGGTGGTGCGATCATGCCGAGGCTTAGGGAGAAAACCCCAGCAGTGTGTGGCCCCCAAGCCTTCGGTGGGACTGGGAACCCCGAGCACTTGGCCCTTTGACCACCAAATTGATGGGGGAATTTCAACCAGGGCCACGGGCCTCTTGGTAGCTAAGAATTTCTTTTCTCAAATCTGGGAATCGATTTTTTTTTCCTTACACACATTTTAGGACTGGGAGAAGCATTTTCTGGATGCCAGTGCCAGCAAGCCAAGCGACTGGAACAGTGAGCTGGAGGGGGACTGGCAGGGGCCGATGCTGCAGAAGCCTCCATACCAGGTGCGTGACATCTTCTTGCGATGCCCACCCCTCCCCCCGGCCTGCGTCCTTCGGGGCCACCACGTAGAGTTTGTTGTTGCAGGACGGCCTGAAACCAGAGGGTATAGACAAAGACATTTGGCTCCACCAGAAGATGAAAAACAACTATTTGACAGAATACGACCTCTCTGAATTTGAGAACATTGGTGCCATTGGACTGGAGCTTTGGCAGGTCATGTGGTTTTTAATTTGCTGTAGTTTGAGAACTCTCGCTTCAGCCTAAACTCCTTCATTCACGTAGCTGGTACTCCTTAGCTCCTACTATGTGCCTGGCCCCTGGACCCGGATCCAAGACACACAGCCGTGGACAAAACAGACATCCATTCTGCCCTCTGGGCACTTCCTGTCTGCCTCCCTGCCCCCTGGGAACCTGTCACTCCTCTGCTTAAGTGTTGCTGCCGCTCCTGGCCATGGCCTACTTTGCACAGTAAGGTTCTCGGGCAGCGGTTGGCAACCATCGTGGAATGCTCGAGTCATTTGGGTACCCTTCCAAGCCTCCCTGCCCAGGTAGCACCGGGGACCAGTTAAATCAGCACCCCCAGGGGTGAGGCCAGACATCAGGAGTTTCTAAAATATTGTTGGTGATCCCCGTATGCAGCTTAGTTTGAGCACCAATGCCTTGGAGGGAGCGGACGTTTTAGAAATGGGTTTAAGCACGTGCTACTGTTGAGAGCCGATCACTGTGATGGCACTGAGCCAAATACAACTGTTTCTGGGTGGAAAGCTGCCATATTCCTCACATCAGTAAGAAAGGCCTCATTTTCCTCCACAGGTGAGATCAGGAACCATCTTTGATAACTTCCTGATCACAGACGATGAAGAGTATGCCGAGAATTTTGGCAAGGCTACTTGGGGGGAAACAAAGGTACGGTGCACACAATGAACTTCTCATTTGTTATTCATTTATTTCTGTACTTGAATCTAACACACAGGAAAGGGCTTGATGAGTTTTCAGTAGTGAACATCCCACCCAGAACAAGATACAGAACGTTAGCGGGGTTCTGGGAACCTCCTCCTGCCCCCTCCCAGCCGCCCCCCGCCCCCCAAAGGAACCACCACCATACATCCATTTGACCTCCTTTTGAAATTCATATAAGTGGAGGCATCCAATATTTACTCATTCAGGCAGTGCTATGAGGTTCATATTATCAAATAGGGCAGCAGCTTGTTTTTAGTGTGTGAATATTCCAGAAGGTAGGTATCCATTCTCTGTTGATGCAGCTTTGAATTGCTTCCAGCTTGGGGCCTCGTGAATAAAGCCATTACCATCATTCCTGTGCATGCCCAGGAGAGGACAGGTTGGATCACAAGGTCTTACACACCCAAACAGTTTTCAAGGTGTCATCCTATTTTCTGTTCCCTTGGGCAGCAGATGAGAGTCTCAGTTTAGCTGCATCTTTGGCTAGGCTGGGTATTAGTGTCAGTTGCTGACAAGTCACATTTCCTGAAGTATAATTTACATACTGTAAGACTTACCCTTTTTTGGTGTAGAGGCCTGTGAGTTTTGACAAACGAATACAGTTGTGAAACCACCAACAGAAATCCAGATGCAGAAGAGTGTCACCACCCCCAAAAGTCTCCTTGTGCTCTTTGTAGCCAAACCTTCTCCCACTCCGACCCCCGCTGATCCGGTATCTGCCACTACCGTCTTGTCTTTTCCAAGTGTCCTATAAATGGATTCATCTAGTGTGCAGTCTTTTTTTTTTTTTTAGATTTTATTTATTTATTTGTCAGAGAGAAAGAGAGAGAAACAGGCTCCCCAATGAGTAAGGAGCCTGATGTAGGACTCGATCCCAGGACTCTGGGATCATGACCACAGCCGAAGGCAGACACTTAACTGACTGAGCCACCCAGGCATCCCTAGTGTGCTGTCTTTTGGAGCCTGCTTCTCAAGCATAAGGTGTCTGAGATCCATCCATGTTGTTGGGGTATCAGTCAGTATTTGTTTTTTTCATACTGCTGAGTAGTTTTATCTGTTCACCAGCTGACAGACAATTGGGTTGTTTCCAGTTTTTGACATAAGAACAAAGCTCTTATAAAATCTGTTCACAGTTTTTGTGTATGGATGTGTGCTTTTAGTTCTCTAGGATAAATAGCCAAGAATAGCTGAGTCCTACAATAGAAGTTTAACCCCGTAAGAACCTGCCAGGCTGTTCCCAGAGGGGCTGCACTGTCTCCCATCCTCACCGGTGCTGGGGATTGTGGGTTTCTCTAGGTATGTAGTGGTACCTCCGGTTTCAGTTTTGTTGCCCCGATGACAAATGAAGGTTGGCACTGTTTTATGGCTTTTGTGGCCATTTGGACATCCTCTTTTGTGAAATGCCTGTGTTTTATTGTTTTAATTGAAGTATAGTTGGCATACAGTATTATATTAGTTTCGGGTGTATAACATAGTGATTCAACATGTATATACATTATGAATTGCTTGCCACGATAAATCTAGCTACCATCTGTCACCATACGAAGTTATTACAATATTATTTACTATATTCTCTATGCTGCCCATGACATCCCTATGACTTATTTATTTTATAACTGGAAGCTTGTGCCTTTTGACCCCCTTCACCCATTTCACCCACCCCCTCCACCCTGCCTCTGGCAACCATCAATGTGTTCTCTGTTTCTATGAATTCATTTTTTTTTTTTAAAAGATTCCATATAAAGTAAGATCATATGGTATTTTTCTTTGTCTTACTTATGTCACTGAGCATAATGCTCTCATGGTCCATCTGTGTTGTTGCAGATGGCAAGATTTCATTCTTTTTTATGGCTGAGTAATATTCCACTGTGTGTGTGTGTGTGTGTGTGTGTGTTTAGGCGATGTTTTTTTGAGAGAGTGTTTTCATGTTCTTCAGGAAAATAGCCAGAAGTGGAATTACTGGATTATATGGTATTGCTATTTTTAATTTTGGAGGAGGCGTCATACAGTTTTCTGTAGTGATTACACCAATTTACATTCCTGCCTGCAGTGTATGAAGGATCTCTCTTCTCCTACATCCTTGGCCAATGCTTCTTACGTTGTGTTTTTTTGATACTAGCCATTCCAACAGGTGTGAGGTGATAGCTCATTATGGTTTTAATTTGCATTTCCCTGACGATGAGGGATGTTGAGCATCTTTTCCTGTGCCTGTTGGCCTTCTGTATGTCTTCTTTGGAAAACGTCTATTCAGATCCTCTGCCCATTTTTAAATCACATTTTTTTGCCTTTAAGTTATAGAAGTTCTTTATATATTTTGGATATTAATCCCTCATCAGATATGACTTGCAAATATTTTCTCCCAGTCAATATAGGTTACCTTTTCATTTTGTTGATAGTGAACCATTTCTTTTGGAATCTGATTTTTGCCACAAAGCCTTACTCTTTTTCTTTTCTTTTTCTTTTTTTAAAATTTCATTTATTTATTTGAGTGAGAGAGAATGAGAGATAGCACGAGAGGGAAGAGGGTCAGAGGGAGAAGCAGACTCCCCGCTGAGCAGGGAGCCCGATGTGGGACTTGATCCCGGGACTCCAGGATCATGACCTGAGCCGAAGGCAGTCGCTTAACCAACTGAGCCACCCAGGCACCCAAGCCTTACTCTTTTTCAATAATGACTACGGAAACCTTCTTGATGTGTCTGCACTCCTAGCCCTTCTGTTGATCCCATGTACCTGGAATTTCTCACTTAGACTCAGAAGGCTCCTTTCACTGCCTGTTCACTGCTCCCCTGATTGAAGGACAGGGGCCCAGGTACTCTGGGAATAGAAAGAAGTGAAGGGGGGTTTGTATTTATTTCCTGTGGCCATTGTAACAAATTACCACAAACTGTCTGGTTTAAAACAACACAAATTTATCATCTCACTGTTCTGGAGGCCAGAAGTCCACAAAATCAGTATTATTGAGCTGAAATCAAGCCTCAGCAAGACCACACTCCCTCCAAATGCTCTAGGGCAGCATCCTTCCTTCGCCTCTTGCAGCCTCTGGTGGCTCCTAGTGTTCCTTGGTTTGTGGCCATGTGGCTCTAATTTCTGCCTCTGTCTTCACGTGGTCTTCTCCTCTTGTGTCTGTGTGTATGTCAAATCTCTCTCTGCCCGTCTCCAATGAGGACATTTGTGATGGAATTTAGGGCCCAGGATAATCTTCCCATCTCAACATGCTTAACTTAATCATATTTGCAAAGACCCCTTTCCCAGAGAAGGTCACATTTACATGTTCCAGGGATTAGGGCCTGGCATCCTTGGGGGCTCTTCCAAGCCACCCCCAGGCAGTGTGGAGGCTTGCAAGAAGGCAGGAGCAGATTGAAGGTGGACACCCAGTCCACTCCCTGGAAACATAACCCCCAGCGGCTAATGGCTCATGTCTCTGTTTCTTTCTCCAAGGGCCCAGAAAGGGAGATGGATGCTATACAGGCCAAGGAGGAAATGAAGAAGGCCCGTGAGGAAGATGAGCAGGAGCAGCTGGTGGGCAGGTTTGGTGGGCAAGAAAACACTTTCCAGAGATTTCACAGGAGGGATGAACTTTAGTCATTCCCACCCCAGATAAAAATGACTGGTAAAACCTTGTTTCTACTTTAATCTACATGTTAAAAGTGCAAATGTCAACATATGTGGTAATTTGCCTAATTTTCTTTGAAAATGTTCCTATGCTTCTCAGTGGGGTTGGTCTGGTGTTCCCTGAGACCCACCCCCTGGGCACCGAGATGTTTTCTCTCGACACACCTGAGTGCTAGAAGCCAGAGGCCAGTGGGGGTCTGGCCAAAAATATGATGCTCTTTTCTTTTTTTTTTTTTTTTTTTTAAAGATTTTATTTATTTATTCATGAGAGACAGAGAGAGAGAGAGGCAGAGGGAGAAGCAGGCTCCCAAGGAGCAGGGAGCCCGATGCGGGACTCGATCCCAGGACCCTGGGATCATGACCTGAGCCGAAGGCAGACGCTTAACGACTGAGCCACCCAGGCGCCCTATGATGCTCTTTTCTTAGCGCCCAAAATGTTTTATAAATAAAAGTTGGTAAAACTTACTAGGAAAAAGGAGGAATGATGCCTTATTTCTTCAGGCTGCAAGTTACTAACAGCATATGCTAACCTTTTCCAATATGAAACCTTTACACAACATCATTCGTGTAGAAAGGTTTGGCAGGTTTCACTGGCATACTGGTTATTTTGGAGAACCCAGGTCTGTGCGCACAGACTTTTGTCGTGCCATAAGGAAGCCGCTGCCTCTTTTCCCTCACTCTGTGACCCACTTCTGTGGCCTTTTATTCTCTGTAAGACAGAAGAATGAAATTCATTTTCTCAAGTGAAAATAGTCATTATTTCTCAGTTCAATCTTTTTGGCTTAATCAAATAATTTGCTTTTTAAAAGTCATACTTAAGAGTCTTCTGATTTGAAGATGCCTTTTTCCACACAGAAATTTGTGTTGGAAGTAATAAAATTAGGACACCAGGAATCTGGAACCCAGTGATATTACAAATAAGCTGATACATTGGAAATTATATATGACACATTGCTAGGTGATCCATGTGAAAAGTCTGCCCATGAAGTGAAATACTGGCAAGTTTTGTTGTCACTTTGGCTGAAGTTGGCAGACCTCCAAATGTGGACTTTAAAAAAAAAAAAAACTTAATGTATTTATTTTTAGAAAGACACACACGTGAGTGGAGAGGGGGAGATGAAGAAGGAGAGAGTCTCAAGCAAGCCCCCTGCCCAGTGCAGAGCCTGATGAGGGGCTGATCTCATGACCCTGAGATCAGGACCTGAGCCCAAATCAAGAGTGAGATGCCCAACTGACTGAACCATCCAGACGCCCTTAAATGTGGACTTTGGACTGATGGCTGATGGTTTATTGGGGGTTGGTTATCACTCTCAGAAATGAAAGACTCACTTCCATGTAGTGCAGGGATGGGGTTCAACAGTCTACCCCTTTAATCTCTGAATGGTGTAAGAAGTTACTGAGGAAAGAAGCAGGGCCAGGCTTAGAAAATGCTGGAAACAATTGTATGAAGATGGGTCAGACCAGCTCAGATCCTGCAGAGCTCATCTTTGGGGCAGTCCCATCCTGGAGAACTTTTCTGTGAAGATGGAGATGTTCCCCATTTGCAGTGGTCAATACAGTGACCATTGGCCACACGTGATCCCTTGAAATATGGGACCGAGGAATGATTTTTTTTTTTAAATTAATAATCATTGTTTTGGAGTTGTTTTAGGTTCACTGCAAAGCTGTGCAGAAAGCACAGAGTTCCCATATACCCCCACTTCTATATCTATACCCACACATCCTCCCCCACTATCAGTATCCCACAACATAGTGGTACATTTGTCACAATTGATGAACCTGACACATCATTATCTCCCAGAGTCCATAGTTTACATTAGGATTCAATCTTGGTGTTGTACATTCTATGGAGGAATGGATTTTTAACCTTATTTAATTGTAATTCAGATTGAAACTTACTTGGCCACATGTGACATGTGGCCACCATGTTGGACAGTGCAGCTCTGGACTCTGGCAAGAAAGGTCACAGGATGGTGGCTCACTGCCCAGTGTGGTGGCTACAGAAGTAAGAGGGAATCCCAGGCTGCTAGCTGGGTGGCACTCAGCACCAAACCTCTGTTTCCAGTCAAGAGGATGCAGGAGAGTCTCCGTGGTCATTGCCTCTGTAGGCTCTGACACTAAGGTTGGAAGCCTGAATATGACATTTCACAGATACCCTTACCCACTGGTTTCCTGTTATGTTCTGTCAGAAAGAAGTTGGAAGGCAGGCAGAGAGGAGAAGCCATTTTTTCAGGCTTCTGCTGGCACCTTAGTCAGTAGTGAGAGGAACAGCAGTGACTTGAGCGATGGGAAAACAGCAGTGGCTGATGAGAGCAGGCATCTGGGCTCCTGCTCAGGGCCTAGCGATGATGGGTTTTGGGTAACACCTTTTCCCCTTTTGGCCTTTAGCCCTAGAATGGCTAGCAGCTTCCTATAGTTACTAATCTTTAGGTAACCTTATATTCCTGTTCTGTTTTTGCCATATACTCATTCTCCTATATCAACTGTCCTCTGTTGGAAATGTCTAAGAATGACTTGACTTTTCCTTATGGAACACAGACGGATAAAGCACTCAAGACAGCTAAAAGCCTCCATTTCTGCACCTGGACCATCGCTCCAGCTTTCCAGCTGGCCCACTCCTGTCCATCCATCGGTGCTCAGGCTACTTTGCCTGCTGCATCGAGAGTCGACATTCTAGAACACAATCTGATCATGTTCAAAATCCTCTGGTGGCTTCCCCTTGCTTTTTATATAGAGAACCGAGGAGTGAAGGAGCATGACAAGACTGAAAACTTGGAGCTCAGACAGCAAAAGAGTCTCAAGACAAGACGAGATGACCATGGTCTTATCTCATTGCTCTTCGCTCAGGGGTGTCTCATGAGACCAGCAGCAGCTTGACTCCAAAATGGAAGAGGTGGACAGGAGGCTGTGCCCCACCCCTGAGATCACATGCCTTCTAGCTTGCCTGCCTGGGAAGCAGTGCCTGGCTGGACTCACTCTGCTGCCATCACAAGGGGCCAGGTAGGGGGAGGTCCCCCTGCCCTGAGGAAACCTTGTGCCACTGTGGTCAGCTGCCTCGCTGGACCTTTCTTTCCTCGCCCTATTAGTGGAAACTGGTCACAGATGAGGATGTGTCCCTAGCCAATGGAAGACAAAACGTCTAAAGAAATAAATGCCCCCTCTGGTACCAGTTCTCCAGCAAACCTCGGACACACACACCCACACATACACACACACCCACACCCCACACAGCAAACCTCAGACACACACACACACACACACACACACCCCCACAGCAAACCTCAGACACACACACACACACCGCCAGCCACCCCCACACATATGCACCCTATCCTAGAAACAGGGAGCGTTGTTGGGCACGGCGAGGTTCCTGACCCTCTGCGGGGTGGGCAACAACCTCCCCACAAGGCGTTTGCCAGACGCACGGGGAAGGGGACGGTACCTAGCACGTCATTCTCCGGGTGCCGGGCCGGGGAGCGGGCCGGGGAGCGGGCCGGGGTTAAGGGGGCAGAAAAGCTTGGCGCCCACTCGGGGGCCTGCGCTCCTCCCCGGCCCCGCCCCCTCCCGGCCCGGGCTAGGTGTGCACGGCCCCGCCCTCGACCCCGCCCCTTTAGGTTTTGTCGCGCGTGCGTAGCCCTGCCTCGGTCCCGCCCTCTCCCGGTCTCGGTTGCGCGCGCACCGCCCCTCGCACCCGTGCGCACGCGCGGCCCCACCCCCGTCTCACGGGCGCTCGGAGCCCGAGTCCGCGGGAAGATGGCGGCTCCGCTCATCCCGCTCTCCCAGCAGGTACGGGCAGGCGGGCGGGGGCGCAGCGCCGGGGCGCGGGGCGCGAGGCGGGCATCGCAGTAAGGCCGATGTGCAGGGAGGTCCAGCCGGGCGGCGGCGGCTCGCGCTGAGGGGCCCCCGCGGAGGGCGGGCGAGTGGGCGGGCGGTCCTGAAGGTGACAGGCCGACCCGGCCCGCGGCCTCCCGCGCCCTGGCGACCCTCTGCGGGCGGTGTACAGGCGGGGTCGCTGCCTGTGTCTGCACAGTCTGGGGCCCGGGCCCGGCTGCACGCCCGGCCTTCGCCGCTGTTCCCTGGCCGGGCGATGCATGGTGGCACTGGGCTCTCATTCGGGGAGGTGGGCGAGGGGAGTGAGCTTTTCTGCCGGTGCGTCGGCCCCGCGAGTCTTTGTTTCCTGATAGGTCCCAGCGCCGGGGCAGACAGTGTCCCCGCCGGGGTGGAGGGCAGAGCCCTGCCAGAGTCAGGACCCTCCGGCAGTGCGATCCTGGACTCATCCCTCAATTCCTTGGGAGCTGTTTCCGCCACCCTTGAATTGAGAAAGGGGGGATCGCACGTCTCCGGGCCCCTCTCTGTGCCCTCAAACACGCCTGGTGGTCTTACTAAGGGGCAGTAACAGTGGAGCGACACATACGTGCAAAAAAGAGCCTTGCGCAGGCAGCCCTGTTTTCTGCGAGGGACGTTCATTCATTTATCCGTCAAATGTGCGTTAGTCCAGGTGTTGGGAGCGCAGCAGTCGCCCAGACAAGGTCGCTGCTCTCCCGGAGGTGACACTCTCAAGGGAACTAGAAACTACCTGTGCCCTGCTAATAACAGCTGCCTTTATTGACTGAATACCTGTGTTGTACCAAGCACAATATTATAAGCATTTTGTCTGAATTATCTAGCACAGAGTTGGGATTAAGAGTGAGGACACAGGGTCATATCATCTTGTGTTTAGTTCTTGGCTCTATCACTTATTCTTGAGTGTCCTTGGGTGAAGCTCTTAGAACTCATTTGGAAAATGGAAATATAAAAAAAAATTGGGGTAATGTGAAGATTAAGTGTGTAAAGTGCTTAGAGATACTGTAATTATTATCATTTAATTCTCTGGCAGACTGGGACATATGGGAATGTAGACCACAGCAGTAAGAATGCTAAACCTTAAGAGAGCTGATAGGCAGGTTGGCACGACTGACCAGCTGTTTCAAGGAGAGAGACATGCATACCTGCTAAATCTTGCAAGAGCTAGCCAATTTGTAACACTGTCACTAAATTAAAAGTATCAAAGACCAGTGGTTATTAATTAACATGTTCTTATAACAGGAGAGTGCTATGTAAACTAGATGCCATACAGATGTGGGGTATTATTGCTAATAGCCAATTGCTACAGTTTAGGGTGTGTTTGTGTGTGTAGGGGTCGAAACTCACTTAGGCTCACTTAATGAGAAAGTGCTTCCAGTTTGGGGGGGAATCTTTTTAAAACTTCTATCAAATTTTGACAGTAGCCCTAATTTGAACTTTGATGATGACAGTGGCTAATGTTTATTGAGTGCTTTAGAGTTTAAGTGCTTTCTAACACTGTGCTTATCCACACAACATGGAGAGGGGAATTCTTATTTTACTGATGAAGGATTAGCTTTGGAGGAAGGCAGTGGTTTGCCACTGTGAGTTAAGGTATGAAAACATGAATCAGGTCATGTGATTCATCTGCTTAGCACCTTTTGGAATAAGATCCCAATTCCTTCTCAGGAAGCCTCTGGTGCCTGCCTGCCCTCTCCCGCCTCATGCTTTCCCCGGCACCCACACTGCAGCCATACTTGCTGCTTTTCTGCTCTTCCCACAGTCCAGGCTTTCTCTGTTCTCAGGGTGTCCCCACTGGCTGTTCCTTCTTCCTGAAGTTCTCTTCCTTGTTTCTTCTCTTGGTGCTGTCAATGCCTGGCTCTTTTCCCTTCCCCAGGTGGTAGCTCAGATGTCGTTCTTCCCAGACGCCTTTGCTGACCACTTGTAATAAATAGGGCCCCCTCTTTCATCCCACCAGCAGTGTGTTTCCTCCACATACCGCTCAGCACCATTCATGGTCTACAGATGTCTCTTTCGCCATGACACCAGGCACCCAGTCAGAGCAGGTGCAGACTCTTGCTCCTGTGACCAGCACCCAGGAGGTGTCAGGTAAACGCATGAAGCAGGAACCAGAGAGTTCGACCGACCAGCACCATTTACAGGTGGCTCTTCTCTACGTGTGGGATGGGGCTAGGGGTGGGAGCAAAATTGAAGGAGGAGTTGCAAGAGACTGACAGCCAGGAGCCTATGACTACTTTAGGTCACTGACTTCAGTGTTTTTTCCTGTTCCTTTATATGTTTGTTGAACGAAGGCACGAGTAGGTTTTCTTCCTTCAGGTAGTTATGTCAGCATTTCTCTATGGCTGTTCTTAGTGAAGTTCTGCACCAGGTGTTCCCGTCAAGCTAGGTGGGAGATATAGCCCTTCAGGTGTTTTCACATCTGAGATCACATGGATTCACAGATAATTACTGGGGATACATGGATATGATTCCAGGGTAATTTCTGGTTGGGGGCAGTCAGGGAGCCCCCTGGAGCATGAGGCTGTGCTCTGGTTGGACTGAGGTGTAGGGTGCACTTGGAACGTGGATGGCCTGTTGAAGGTGAATAAAGCGGTTGCCAGTAGGTTTGCAGAGGGGAGGGGGGCAGTGTGTTTCCCCTCTGTCCCCAGCACTTTTCCCATCAGCATCTTTCCTGGTCTGCTCCATACTCCCCAATATCTATGGCACCTCTTTCCCTATACAGTTTCTTCTGACCCTGAATACAAATCTTGCCCATTTGAAGAGTCAGGAGTCTAGGGTTGATTTTTCCCAAGCACAGCTCCCCTTTGCCTCTCCTACCCCGGAAATGCATCTGTGTTCCTCACCCCTTTTGTACCATGTGGTCTCATAAGCTCCTGGTCACCATGCCATCCTTAACCTCAGTGGCCTGTCATTGGTCATCCTTGAACTCCACAACAGTGGTCACTGTAACCCACCAGTTGGCCTTCACTCTGTCTTCTGCATTCTTTCTCTCTGTCTGCTCCCATCTTAGGGTCTCCCCACAGAGCATGCCCTTCCCCCACCAAGAGTCCAGCCTCCTGTTTCCCCCTTGCCAACCCCCCATCCCACCCCCCACCGGCTGCCCACTGGAATTGGCCACCTCCTTACCACATCCACAAGTTCACAGGGCTGGGCCTGTTCCCCTTCCTGCTTAGCCTCTCCCTCATAGTTCATTCCGCACAACCACCCCCCTGCTCCAGAAACCTCCAGCTGCTCCCATTTCACTCCCCTCAGTATGTCCAGCTTGATTGCTCCTGGTTCAGCATTCCCACGCCCCCCTGGGCCTGCTCCACCTGAGCTTGCCGCACCATTTCCATGTAAGCCCTGGCTCTTCCCAGTGCTCCCCCACATCCCCCCACCTCATGCCGTGATCTCCTGCTGCAACCTAGCCTACCTCCCACCCATTGGAGGCCACTCTTGGAGGCCTCCTTGGTGGTGTCTTCCCTCAGTCCCATCTCAATGACAGTTCTCCCTCCTGTACCTTCTGTGGGTCCCTTGCGTGGCCCTTGACCCAGGAAGCACATGGAAAGTATTGGACTCATTAATGAAGAGAGTGCCCTGTGCCCAAGGAGTTCCACCCCCTCCCCTGTGCCACTGGGGTCCTCCTCCTTCGTCATGTGCTTCCTATGCCCAGGCACTTGAGATACATCATCTTTTTAATGGGTGCCAGGTTCTAAATTTTTATTCCCATTTTGCAAATGGGAAACTGAGACCCACAGAGATTTAAGTCACTTGCCGAAGTCCCATAGTTGGTGGGTTGACCCCACATCTGTCTGCCTGCAGAGCCCTGCTCTTTCTCCTCTTCCAGGCAGCCTGCTGGGCACCTCGCCCAGAGCAACACCTGGTGAATGTGTCTGCAGTGAATGCCAAGTGCTTGGGGCACTTGTTTGTCCTTTCGTCTCTTGTTTTTTTTCTCTAAAATAATTGCTACTCTCTCTGTCTTACTAGAATGCTAATGGTGATGTGGTATAAATTGGTGAGTAGAGAGTCAGGTTTTAGAGTAAAGATTGGCCCTACCCTGTAAGATCCAGAATTTCTTGGCTCTTTATCTTATTGTCCTGCATTGGCCTGTTTGTGGACCAAGTAGCTACCAGTTAAGCAAGAACATGTAAATTTTGTTCCCTTTGCCCCAATTTTGAACTTTATTTAATTTTTTTAAAGATTTTATTTTAGGGAGAGGAAGAAGCAGGCTCCCCACTGAGCAGGGAGCTTGACACGGGGCCCCGATCCCAGGACCCTGAGATCATGACCTGAGCTGAAGGCAGACGCTTAACCAACTGAGCCACCCAGGCGCCCCAATTTTGAACTTTAAAGCAACTTTCCCGTGCTTGGTTCTTCACCCGATCAGCTCCTCTGGGAAGTGGACTGTCTTTGATCAGATGGTACCCGAGAGCTGAGTGTCTACTCTCTGATGCCTTAGGCCACCTCACATTATTATGCTGTGGGACGGCCGCAGCCGCCACCACCCCCACGAGATGCATCTCAACAGCCACGCTGCGGGTGCTTTCAGGAGCTCCCCACTCAGACCTCGCCTGAGCAGCCAGCATCCACTTGGAAGACTACTCCACATTCTTCCTCAAAGACGACTCTCCCACCTCATTTTCATTTGAGGTCCCTCAGGGTGTGTTTTTCAGTGTTTAGGTCCCCAGATGTCATTTCAGTACCCTCAGTTGTGCAGTATTTTCTGTATCTCAGTTTCTCCATGTACAAATTGGGAGTAACGCTATATTATGTATGTATTTGCCTCCTGACAGTGGAATGTCAGCACCCCGTGCGCGCTGTTCATTCAGTAGATGTGTATTAGGCATTTTCTCTCTGCTGGGCACCTCGTGGGCAGTGGGATGCATCAGGGAACCTGAAGACAGCCCTGTCCCATGCAGCCGAAGTTCTCAGGAGCAGGGCACAGACAGAAGGAAATGAGCAGA